CTCGTTATCTGCCCTATATCAGTTCCTGTCTCTTGTATTCTAGTTTGTCGGTTATTGTGAATGTTACCCCGTGTGTGCGCGTGTGCGTGTGCGCGTGTGCGCGCGTGCGTGTGCGTGTGTGTGTGTCCTACCTGAATCTGCCTTGTTGTGTCTACATTAAATATCATTATTGGAATCCTTGTCGTGCTCGTCGTCCTGCCTGCCTCCACACACTGTGACATTTACTATGTCGGAAAAGCATAAAAATCATGCAATATGTGGTTTTGAGGTCATAACATAGTAATGTGCAAGAAGCTGTGCAAAAATAAGTCTTTATTAACTGATAATCTGCCTTCGTAATCATTTGTGTGAAAAGGAATAACAATTGTAGGTGTTTTACTGCCTGTAGTGTTCATTTCAGCTGGAAACTGAAGAGAATTGTATTTATTGGTATGTTTTTTGGAGTTTTGCAAAAAATCTTGGTAGAGGAATGTTTTTCCAATTATGTTTTCCAATGATATGCCTATGTTGCAGTTTCATTACATTACATTTCTATTGGCCTTAGAGAGCTCAATTGTTTTACTCTGTAATGGACAAAAAAACTTGATTAATTGATTACTGAAAAATATTGTTCTTGGCGCAAAGCACAACAATATTGACTCTAAATGATGAGTGTGGTGGACTGATATTTAGACAATTAGACTAAGTATTTAGACATTTTTGCAGTGCTCTTCAACCCATCATGCTCAACCTTGAAACATTTTGAATTTAGTAGGGTTGACAAAATTTATCACAATATTTGTTTAAATTACAGTGAGTGATTTGCACACACGGTACACTGTTACAACCAGAATTTACTAAGCTGCTACTCAAATTACAAGTAAATTAAGTCTAAACTTACTGTGACAGGACTGACATAACGTCAGTAACAATGATTAATTATTGGTTCTCTTCAAGGGTGAAAGCACATATTTAGGATTGAGAGTAAAGACCAGAGAGTGTTCTCCATAAACCCAGTCTTGAATCAAGGTCAGTGTGAGTAATAAACCCAGTAACCGCTGATCTGTCCTGGTAAATCCTCTCACACATGACCAGATTAGGAGAAACAGAGGCTCTGTTATAGAGGAAAGCGCATTACAGGCATTCTGCTGCTCAACGTGAGTCAAAGTTAAGAGTTTTAACAAATTACTGTAGGAAAAGTCTTGGGGAGAAAAGTCACTCTATCAAAGATCTACACTTAAAAAAAATGGTGTAGGGCTTATTTTGAAACAATTTCCCCTCAGAAATTGCTAGTAAATTTCACAAAAAAGGCAAGTAACAGACTGATTAACTAAGTTGAAAATTGAAATAGTATTTTGTTAATTTCCATTAATTTTGTATTTACAACTTTGAAAAATATTTTTCAAGTAAAATTGTTATAAGCCGTGTTACTTAAATGCCTGGACATTTAATGTTTATCACTATTACTAAATTACACAAATACACGTGCAATATTAGACAAAAAAAAATTAACACAATCTCAAACTACTGTTTTTGGAGCTTTAACCTTGTGTTCTGCTGACGATCCTTTACCGAATTTAGTGCTTGCAGTCAAATCTCTCCTTATGCTATATTATAATCAAATCTTCTCAAAGAGATCAGTTTGGCCTACAATCTGTGAGGCAAAAAGTACAAATCCTGTGCTAACTGAAAGAAAATTAAAAAGACTAAATCCAATATTTCGTAATAAAATAGCATAATGATTCATTTATAAGCAATTTTTTTGTAGGCAGGTCATTATGTGAGGAAAATAAATTCCAAAAAGTTACAAAAATATACATTTTTGGGTGGTGGGTGGAAGCAAAGTAAGTTTTAATCTGATACCCCAGGTCAAAATGACCAGAACACAATATGACATTAAAATAATAATAATAATAATAATAATAATAAAATAAAAAACTTTGCTATCATGATATGTGGACCTCAGGGTGAAATTAAACAATAGAAAATGCATGTCTTACTTATAAGTCTTGGTCTTGTCTAGCCAGATTCCACAGAGCAGAGAGCCGACCACGCCAGCGATGACGAGAGTCAAGCCAATTCTCCCAGCATTCACCTCTTCACCCTGTGCTTCAGACAATAATGACATCTGAGATATCTTTAATATATCACCCTGTAAGACCATGTTCTCATGCACTTCAGTCCATGGTGTTTAGATGACCCAATACACTGAGTCTGAGCGGAAATTGAGTACTACTGCCAGACTTTCATGGAGCATTTGCTAAGAATGTGATTCAGAGATTCACAGTGAACTTATAGCATGACACATTATATGTTTTTAACAAATAAAAAAGGTGATGTTTCTATAGTACTGAACAGTTATCATTGACCATGATATGTACATGGTACTTCAAGGTACTTCATAAAATGCCATGTTATTACAATCGTACCATTTCCAAAAAAAAAAAAAACATGGCAATACTGTGATACTTTTCTTAGTGCATATGCATCATTTCGAGGTTCAGCTACTGCTATCCTGTGTCTGTAGAGTGGATGAGGATGATAAGAACTCGAGGATGTTGACAACAGGACTCACAGGGTAATGCTCTATTATCATCCTGTTCAACAGAGTGGAAACAGCGTAGAAACATCCCACATTCAGTCCTGGGAAACACAAACAAAGGGAGAATTGCGCTGTCAAATAAATACGAATCAAAGGATTCAAACTGGGTAAAATTACAAATTGATAGTTAGAAAATGTGTAGATTACTATGGGCAGAATTGAAAAAGGATTGCAATCTGGTTGTTTAAGCAGCCCAACTGGGAGACCTGTTTGAAAACAGACATTATTTTTGTGATTCTAATTTTGGCGATTCTAGTGTCACAGAATTGACACTTCAGTTTTAAAGATAAAGTAACATTTCAATTGTGAAAGTGGACAATTTTAAGAAAGCACAATTTTAATTTCATTTTTTGGGACAGTCCTGCACATTTTACATACATCAAAGAACTTAAATTAAGTAGATTTCTGTTGAATTTAAGTAGGCAGATTTCCATAAAAAATTGGAGCACCAATCATGCATAAAGTTTCACACATCCTGCACAACTTATATATTTTGTCTAAATTAATTTTGCATTCAGTATAAGCAGCATCCAACCAGAGCCAAATATTAGGAACAAAAACCACACTTTTTGTGCAGGTCATGGTTATTTTAGTTAACTAAAACTAAAACAATTTAAAACATTCATTTAGTTTAACTTTAAGTACTTAAAGAGCTACAACTAAAACTGAAATAACAATTAATAAAAACTATATATGTAGTTGTCATTTTTAATAGCTATGTGTCTATATAGTGTATAGACACATAACTATTAAAAATGACAACTACACACAACAAAATTACTAAAACTTTACCTAAAATGAAAACAGAAACTATAAAAACGAAAACTAAATCAAACTATTAATGAAAACTCTAAAAGTATCTCAAAGATACAAAAAATAACACTTGTACAGGTGGCGTACAGGCTCATAAACTTTGACATCAGTTTTAAAATCTGACAATAACACTCCCCTGTAGGACAGTCACTCTGAATATGTGTACAGGACTCAACTTTATATGTGAATTCAGAACCTGTATGAGGTTTTCTGTTTGTTTCTGTTTTACCCTTTATTTTAAGGCCATGTTGATACAGTGTAATTACACAAACAAGTACTGAATAATATTAATTAACTACATGTAATTATGGTTAGGCTTAGTTATTGGCCTATCTGAATGTACCAATATCCTCTCTAAAACGTTAGGTCCTATAACCAACACTGTAAGCACTCAAGCAAGAAATTTGTGAGTCATTTTTGACCCAACACTGAAATTTGCTAAACAAATCAGCATTCTTTCAGCTTAGGATGATTGCCAAAATTAAATCTTTCCTCCCACTCAAGGACTTAGAAACTACGTTATTAATGCATTTATTTGATCGGGATTGGACTATTGCAACTCATTGTATTTAGGGGTCTCTGAATGTTTTCTCTCATCTCCAGTTCCAAGTCCAAAATGCTGCAGCCAGACTTTTAAGGGGGATTAGAAAGAGGGAAAGTATTAGACCTGTTTTGGCTAGATTTCACTGGCTCCCCATTGAGTGCAGTTAACTAAGTAAGTATGTAAGTAAACATTTATTTATATAGCACCTTTCAAAACAAAGTTACAAAGTACTTTACAATAAAAAGATCAGTAAAGTAACAAAATACAAAAAATACCATCAAAATTAAGAAAAAGCCATACGATAAAAATTAGTCTTAAGATGAGACTTAAAAGAGGATACAGTAGGAGCCTGCCTAATATCCCCAGGCAGGGAGTTCCATAGCTTAGGCGCACGGATAGCAAAAGCGCGGTCACCTTTGGTAACAAGTCGAGATTTTGGAACCATTAATAGGGCCCTACCGGAGGATCTCAAGCAGCGATCAGTCTCATAAGGAGTTAATAAATCACAAATATAGGCAGGAGCCTGACTCTTCAAGGCCTTAAAAACAAGCAAAAAAATCTTAAAATCAATTCTAAAACTCACAGGCAACCAGTGAAGAGCAGCAAGAATCGGTGTAATGTGGTCACTTTTCTTAGTACGTGTTAAAAGCCTAGCAGCAGCATTTTGAATCAGCAGCAAACTTTGGAGATTTCTCTTGCTTATACCAGAATAAAGTGCATTACAATAATCAAGTCTGGAAGAAATAAAAGCATGAATGACCTTTTCCAAATCTGCCAAAGAAAGGAATGACTTTATCTTTGTTAGTTGCCTCAGTTGTACAAAACAAGACTGCACCACTTTAGTCACCTGAACGTCAAAGGACAGTTCTGAGTCAAAAACTACACCGAACTTGCGAGCCTCTTTTCGAACATTATTAGATAAGGCACCCAGACTAGAGAAGATATTATTTATACTAGCACTACTGGGGATGCATGGGGTAATTATAAGCACTTCTGACTTGGAGTCATTCAACTGCAGAAAATTTTTCGACATCCAATTTTTTATTTAGACGAAGCATAACATAATATGGGATGTATCAATAATACCAGGCTTTACCGGGACATACAATTGAGTATCATCTGCATAGCAGTGGAACTCAATGCCATAACTGCGCATAATTTGACCCAGGGGTAACATGTAGATAGTAAATAGAAGGGGACCCAAAATAGATCCCTGAGGGACCCCACAAAATAAAGGAGCATGAGAAGAGGAGGCATCTCCAAGCACTACGGAAAAAGACCTAGGCTATTCGACAAATTAGAAATAAACCAATCCAGAGCTACATCTCTGATACCAACATAAGTTTTTAAATGGTTGATCAAGACATTAAGGTCCACTGTGTCAAAGGCTGAGCTAAGATCAAGAAGGATTAAAACGGAGTACAAGCCAGCATCAGCTGCAAGCAGTAGGTCATTAGCAACCTTAACCAGAGCAGTTTCAGTGCTATGTTGGGAGCTGAAACCAGACTGAAAATTTTCAAAGATTAAATGATTATTCATATACGAAATCAGTTGCATTGACACAACTTTTTCTAAGATCTTTGATAGAAATGGAAGCTTAGAAATAGGTCTAAAATTACTTAAATGGGAGGGGTCTGGAGAAGCCTCCTTTAATAATGGATAAATAGTGGCATGTTTAAAACATGCGGGAAAAATGCCGGAAGACAAAGACCAGTTAATAATAGCTAAAATATCTGGACCAACCGTGTGAAATACAGCTTTTAAAAACCAAGTAGGAAGGCAGTCAGAAGGAGAGGAGGAGGATTTTGAAAGTACAACAATGCGTTCCAAGGTGGACAAAGAGATTTCATTAAAATGAGTAAATGTTGAAGGTGAACACGAATCAACATCATGATCTCTGAAATCAGTATTAAACTGCTGTCTAATCTCCACTATTTTATTATAAAAGTAATTCAAAAAGGCGTTGCAATTCTCTGGAGTAGATTTAACTGGCTGGCTAGGCAAAGGACCTATAATAGAATTAATAGTTTTAAAAAGTATTTGTCAGGATTCTGGACTGTCTGTGTCGTGTTTTGCCCCAGTTTCTGTTCCTGTTTGTCCTTATTTGGTCATGTTCCTGTCCTCGTTAAGTTTGATTATGTTCCATTGATGTCACCTGTGTTTCCCCATTATCCTTTGTATTTAAGTCTTTGCCTTTGTGTTCAGTGTTTGTCGGGTCTACTCATTGTGTTCGTGTGTTCCTGCCGTTTCCATTGTGGTTATTCCCGTGTGTTTCCTGGATTAAAGACTATTGCTTGTACTCCACGTTTTTCTCTCATTCCTCCGAGCGCAGATCGTGACAGAAGACCCGACCTAAAAAACAATAACCTCCATGTCTCCCCTCCATTTTTGTTTCCGTTTTTTCCTCAGTGTTTTGTTTCCGTTGTGTTTCCCATGGATGCCCTTCTTCACCCAGAGTACCTCCTCCTCCTGCTGGATCGTTCGAAGATGGTCCTCAAGAGGATTTCGGCGCGTTTGTGGAGTAGATTCTGGCGAGAAACAGGTCACCTCTCACCGTCACTCCCGAGGATGATCTTGCCAGATCCACTCCGGAACCAGAGCCCAGCCCACCATCTCCCTGCAGTGCGGACCTAAAGCCCGAGCCCACCGATGACGGAGAGCCAATTCCCACCGCGATCTACGAGCCAGCGCAATGCCGAGCGACTGAGCGGAGGATCGCCCTGGAAGTAGAGCCCAAGTCGTCAGACCAGGTGCGTGAGCCAGCTGCAATGCCCATCACGAGGGAGAAAGCCGGGGACGGTGTGAGCGCGGAGAGGAGCTCCGCCCCTACACCGTGGCTGAGGGTGAGCTTATGATGGACCTGGGTAGAGGAGTGGCAGAAAAAGACCTGATTGACTGGGAGGCTGACCTGCTCCCTCTACTCCCTCCTTCCTCTGAGCCCTTTGTCACCCCTGTTCCCATGTCCAGCCCAGATTGGGTTGCGGTTCCCATCCTTGGTCCTCAGTCGCTCCGGCTCCACCGTGGATCTCCGGATCTCCACCTCTGCCTCGGTCACCAGAGCCCTCGGCTTCACCCTGGCCCCCCGGATCCTCAGCATCCCCCTGGCTTGTTGGCTCTCCGTCTCCGCCTCGGGCTA